CTATCTGTCTTAATCTGTTCTCAGGGTGACCCTGTCCAGTAGACTGTGTTTGTATTTGAAATTCCAAATACAAAGCATGCCTAGAACATTTTGTACATGCCCCAAGTTGCTTGTAACCAGATTATGCCCATTTAATGATTTCCAGGAAACAGCATACAGTACAACTGTATGAACATTTGTTTTGATTCTCAAATGATGCAGAACTCTGAAATTGAGTAATGAGCATTGTTTGCACACAGTCCTCCAATCCTACTGCAACATCAGCACATTTAGCACTGCCAAAGGTTGAGTAAAGGTGAACAAGCATTAAACTTGAGCGTACAAATTCTAGTCTCTTTTGCAGCCATTTTGATGAAATTCTATTGTTTTCTTAATGTCGCTATTGAGGTATGCATTCAATCACAACTTTAATAATTTAATAATGTGCTGGTGTAGGAGAGATGGAAACTTGCACTCGATTTTGTAAACTGACCAGTAACCTAAGTCAAAAAAAAAAAAAAGGAAGGGGGAGGAGTCCTTTTGTGGATCAAAGAAACATGCAATGATTTAATATATAGACCTACCTTTAGAAAGCTCAAAGATAAAATCACAAGTCCTATACACATCGGAAGGCTCTGAATAGTACCAGAGGCGGCACTCAGAGCCCTTTCTATGGGCACACCCGCTGCCGCCACTGCCAGCACAAAGGAGGCGAAGCAGCTGGCTAACAAGCTTGAGTAGAGATGTTAGAGCATGCCCCCATGCGTTTGCTGGCCTTGCCTTGCCCCGCAGCAATGGCACCCCGCCCTACCCCACAGGATGAGACTCCTGCCCACTGCCCACTGCCCCACCCACCAGAAACCCTTTGGATCTCTCCCAATCCTGCCCAGCCCCCACAGGTGTCCCCCCATAAACAAGGTGGCCACACCCATCCCAGCCACACCCACTCAGTAGGCCATTCCCCCCCCCAGGGCACTGCAATGCTGATGCAGCCCTGACACTTTGCGATAAATAAGTGGGTTTGGGGTTGCAGTTTGGGCACTCAGTCTCTAAAAGGTTCACCATCAGTGATCCAGTGGTTAAGCTGCTGGCCTAGCAAGCAAGAGATCATGAGTTCTAGTCCTACCTTAGGCATGAAAGCTAATCACACTCTCTCTGCTCACCTCATAGACTTATGGAAAAACAGAAGGGAAGAATATTAGGTATGCTCGCCGCCTTATTTATAAAAATAACACAATAAAATAAAAAATTTAAGAAGTAATCCAGCATTAAGTAATGAAACTACTCTTCACAAACTATATATTCATAGATGCAAATCAGGACCATCCGAGAATTGGATTACAATTCCCATCAGACAGTAATGGAACTTAGCTTGTATTGGCGCATCTGGAGCGCAATCGCTAAACTAATATAATTCAAGTACGCACACCTAAAAAAACTATATCGATGTAACGTAATAGAATAATGTTAGAGACGCGCTGTCGCTATCCAAGACAAACGGTAAAAGACTGGAGAATCCGAAATTCTCCCTGAAAGCGAAGACAACACCTAGCTCCCAGATAAGGCTCGCTCGCTTTCTGGTTCGCTTTCTTTGAAGCCCAACCGTCAGCAAAGGCGCGTGCGTGCGTGCGCCTGCGGGAGGGACCTCCTGGGGAGGGGCCGCCCTTGGGACAAAAGGAGGGGCGACTGCGCGAGCCACGAAGCAGCGTCTGAAGACGCCCGATTTCTGTGAGAGGGCGTGTCGCACAGAAGCTGGGCGGGCGCGTCAGAATGAAGCAGGGGCGTGGCTCCGCGGAGGAGGGAGAAAAGGAGGTGCGCGCCCTCACTGGCTTTTAAGAGGACAGTGCTGGTCTTGGGAGGAAAAGGCGTGACATGTACGCATGCGCGGTCAGGGGCTCGCGGTGTCTGCCTGAGCCGGTGATGGGGTTCCACTGCGGGTGAGTGGCCGGGCGGGAGGCCTTCGCGAGCGGGATTCGAAGGCTGCCTGGGAGTCGGGAGGCTGCGGCGGAGCCAAGGGAGAGGCGGAAGACTTGTAGTCCTGCTCTGGACGGGACAAGGGGAAGCAGGGGGACAGGGGAAGCAAGACGGGCATCTCTTTTCTCCCCTCCGTATCCCCGGGCGCCTTCAAGGAGGCGGCTGTGGCCAAGGGCATCGCCTACTTAGCGGCGGAGAGGCGCGTTCTCCCTTTCCTTTCCTTTTCGACTGTGGGGGAAACACGAGTGTGCCCAAGCAGACTCGTAAGCCGTCAGTCTTCCCTCATCGCTTCAGATGTATTGGACTCCAACTTCTATGGGTCCCTTGGAATCGTAGGAGCCAAAGCCCTGCACATCTGGCCCGCCTCGGACTTCTGGAGGAAGCGGGCAACCCCCTGCCCAGAATGTGTGGGCTGATTTCAACAGTTAATCGAGAAGAATCAGTTTTTGTCTCTGTAATGGAAACAAACTTGTCCCAGTATCGCGTCCTAACTTCTGGTTTCATTATATGTGTATGCATGTGTGTATATATGCATGGAGCAGATGCCTGGCAATGTAAACAGCTTATAGTTTATTTAGTGTTTCGTTTAGCGTTGATTTTTATGTGTATTAGGCATAATAGCTATGCTAAAGTATTAATGAGTGAAAAAAAAATAACTATCTGAACAGATTTTCTTTTCTGGCAAAACGTGCCTTGTTACCCAGTTTGCAGCTACCCAGCCCACCACTGCCCATAATTTCTCAATCGCTAGACATGCAGTATTTTCTTAGAAGCTGTTAAGTTGAGCTAATTTCTGGACTTGTGTCCATGGTTGTCGCAATCTCTCATAATTCTGTCTTTTTTGTAATGTTTGGGTTTTTGTTTTGTTTTTTGTAAATTTCAAGTGTGTTAGAAACATTCACCAAATGATTTTTCAGTCTTTCTGCTTAAGACAGGTGTTCAAGTAACATCCTTAGTTACTTTATTTTGTCAATTTTATTTTTGTATTTTTAAAAATTAATGTTTTATATTGTGAGTCAAAAAATCAGCTTTCTATCTAGTCCACAGTTTCTCTTGAGGGGAAAAAACAAATGGTGTAAAACTATGGTGTGGTGAACTATGTTTGTGTAAGAATATGTGACTATATAAGAATGTGATTCCTTGACATAGGAATGTTTTATATAGAATTGTTTATTACTTATTATATTGCTGTTTTAATCTTACTTGCCTGTGTTAGGATTATAAAATATTCTGAGTCAGTTGGCAAATAAGCCTAGTAAAATAAATAAAAAATAGCAAATATGTTTTTGTTCCCTGGGGAAATCATTAATATAAAACCTATGAAGTAAGCACAACTCAAACAATTCTTTTATGACACTGAGAACCATACTATGTTAATTTCTGCTTGGGTAGCTGCCATTGTTGCCTCTTATTCCTGAGGGCAGTAACTATTACACTGTGTTGTTTGTTGTCATTCCTTAATTAGTTCATTAGAATGTAAATTTATTTTTCAAGAATAAGCAGGGCAAAGGCCAATGGTTGACTCTGGTTTGAAAGCAAAGCAGTGCAAAAAGGAATGTGGGTGGCAGAAAGAAATCAAGCTGATATAGTTAGCAGTGATGGTGAACCTTTTAGAGACCGAGTGCCCAAAATCTGGCCCCGCCCCCACTCCACTCTCCTGCCCCCACCCCTGCTCTGCCCCCATCCCCTTCCCCGCCTGCCCACAGGACCACTCACTGCCCAGGCAGCCCAGCAGCGCTATGGCAGCCACACCCTCTGCATGATGGGGTGTGAGGGCAGAATCTTGTCTACGCTGCCTGGCATTAACCTCATTTTGTTACTGTGGTTTATGTTTTTGCTCTTTACTGCTCTTTCCATTCTGACAGAATATTTATGCCCTTTTTTCATTGTGGACAATATTAATAGGTGTGAAGCAAAACAAGTTAAATGTTCATCTATAGAGTAGGGAGAACACACCTTCAGTGCAAGAAATCTAATGGTACATCCTTTTAAAAGACAAAACAAAATGAGTACAGAATTTGCTTTTTAAAAATCAGATTCTTATTAAAATAATGAAATTCCACACAATTGTATGGATGCATGACTGTCTGGGGAATCCCGATAGTTAAAATCCACATGTCTTAAAATTGACAAGGTTGAGAAACATTGTCCAAGACTAAAATTAGAAAGTGACATAGCATCAACTAAAGCAGAGAAGAGTATACGTTTCTATATGAAGTATTTTTTCAGCATGAATGTATATAAACTTGTAATAGGAGTTAAGAATGCTCTAGTCCAGGGGTGTCAAACTCGCAACATCACATGACGTGTCACGATGTATCCCAACTTTTTTGCCATTGCTGGCAATGGGGTGGACGTGGTTTCGTTATGATGCATCTGGCCCATGGGCCGCCAGTTTGACACCCATGCTTTAGTCAATAGTATAAGGTTAGGCATTGCAGTAGCATTGCAGTTAGAAAAAAAGTTTTAGAGAAAATGAGCCGTGGTGGCACAGTGGTTGGAATGCAGTACTGCAGGCTATCTCACCCTTCACTCCTGGAGTTCGATTCTCACTGGCTCAAGGTTGACTCAACCTTCCATCCTTCCAAGGTGGGTAAAATGAGGACCCAAATTGTTGAGAGCAATATGCTTAGGGCTGTAAACCATTATGAAGCGGTATATAAGTGCAAGTGCTATTGCTATTTATCTGCTATCTGTATATCCAGTTAAAATATGGGCATGTGTTGGAAGTTCTGAAACGTTCTGTTTTCGAGGCAGTTAGTACAAATGGGGGCTCCTTCAACAACTACAGTCTTGGATATTTTTTATAATATAGTCTTATATTAATCACAGTAGAAAACATTGTAGCCATTTAAACTGCAATTGTCAATACCATCTCTGCTGCTTCTTTTCCCATCTGTTTACTCGTAGCTGTTTCTGGAACAGCTTAAAATTGTCTAACAGATAATGTTCTTGACAATTAGTGTGTCAAATATTGGATTAATGATATTTTTAAAATTAAATTTCAGTATTGTACATTGGTATAAAACTATGCACTTTTTTTTTAGATACATCAGTATGCCTGGATCTCTACCTGTGAATGCTGAAGCCTGTTGGCCAAAAGATGTGGGAATTGTAGCTTTGGAGATCTATTTTCCTTCCCAGTATGTTGACCAGATAGAGTTAGAGAAATTTGATGGAGTGGATGCAGGAAAATACACCATTGGTTTGGGACAATCCAAGATGGGCTTCTGTTCTGACAGAGAGGATATCAATTCACTCTGCCTCACTGCAGTCCAGAAGCTAATGGAGAGGAACAGTCTGTCATACGATTGCATTGGAAGACTTGAAGTTGGAACGGAGACAATCATTGACAAATCCAAATCTGTAAAGACAGTCCTGATGCAGCTCTTTGAAGAATCTGGTAACACAGATGTGGAGGGCATTGACACAACAAATGCATGCTATGGAGGCACAGCTGCACTCTTCAATGCCATTAACTGGGTGGAATCTAGTTCCTGGGATGGTAAGTTTGATAATCTGGGACAATCAAAATCCTTGAAAAAAATTGAAAAAGGAGTCAACAAGGATACAATTTCCAAAACCCCTCATAAAAATACCTTTGTGCTTAACCCCTATTCAAATCAAGACACTGACAGTTTTCCCGAAATGTATTTCAGTTGTTGCTTCTTAGCCACAATTTGTTAGAAATGTAGAAAGCCAGAGAGGTAATGCATTGGCAAATCCTCTGTTGTTATTTACATTGCAGAAAACTATTTTAAAAACTGCCTGCCTAGGTTTTAATTATTACAGTATCAATATGAATATGTGGGAGGAACTAATGTTGATGGCTCTTTAACTTCTAGTCAAGTTTAAAATCTAATTGAAATAGTTGCATAAAAAACATAATCCCCCAAAAGGTAATGGTGCTAGTCATTGTTCTATCTGTAAAATAGGATAAATTCTAGTTGTCAAGTCATACTTATTTGGGTAGGTTTTATAGCAGTTTTTGCTGCACTGGTAAATTTTTCAAGACAAAACTCTTGATAAGCGTCATTGAATGTAGCAACTACCAGTTATAATAGTGTAAGTCAGCTTAAGTTGAAATATAAAAATACTCTGTGAAACAGAACTGATGTCCACACTAAACATTCTAGTTATACATTAGTGCTAAATTTACATATAGCTCTAATTAATTGCAGCTACTAGGAAAATAAAAATGACCATGCATTCTTAAAATTCATGTGAATTTGGGCTGCAGAGCTGAGTTTATCAGGCTTCCATAAGAAATCCAGCATCATCTTAAACTATTATTAAACTAACTATGAACATTTTCCATTTATCTTGCAAGTTCTATGGCAATTAATCTAGACATACTTTCCTCTGTGCTACTTCCTTGTATTGACACAAATGCACTTAGAAATGCTCACATTTGTCCTCATTTACAAAATGCAAATTTGTATAACAGGATATGTGTCAACACAATATAATCAGAAGTTCTTAATAGGATTTTAAATGCTAAATATAGAAATGAATGGTTGCAGTTGATTAAAATAGTTGCAGGTTGAAAAGTAACTCTGGATGGGGTTGTTTCTGTTTGATGAGGTTGTCACCACTGATATATGTCATAATCTTGATGCAGTCCATTGATTGCCTGTATTTGTATTTTTTCAGGGCGTTACGCACTTGTTGTTGCTGGAGACATAGCTGTATATGCCACTGGGAATGCCAGACCAACTGGAGGAGCTGGTGCTGTTGCTATGCTTGTGGGTCCAAATGCACCCCTCATTTTTGAACGGGGTCAGTGCTCTGTTACTACTTAATCTATAAGACATACTATTTACATTAATGGCCAAGTTCACATGACATACTTAACCAAATTAGTTACAATTCTACACTCACATATTTCGTTAGTTTAACTTCCAGTGTATATAGATATGTGTACCTCAGGGTTGAACTGTGAGTCCTTGGTGCTATCTCAGTTGGATGGTTTGCTTGCAGACATTTCATTACCCAACTAGGTAATGTCATGCCAGTGATGAGGTAACTTAGTTTGGCAATAAACTAAGCTCAGAGCACCAAGAACTCCATAGTTCAACTTTGATCGGAGTTTTTGGGATAGCTTAGCCTGATGCGCAAGTCCAGGGCATTTGTTTGGGATTCTTTCACCTGGCTGAGATAAAGTGCCTAAAGTCCTTGAACCAGCACATCTTATGCTTGTATATTCTAGCTTTTGTTGACCCACTGGTGATCCTTATCCTGACACATACAGATCAGCAAATGGTATTACATAGGGCCTGCTAAGGATAGGGGTTACTGGATTCATCAAGATATATTTTTCTTCCCACCAAGTATCATCCTGGTCTTACAGTAGAATGAAAGGATCAGGGATTTTTGAGATATGGATATATTGACTGGTTTAGCCATGTATCAAAACCTGCCCAGACTTAGTACAAATGTTTTTGCCCAAGTATGTCAAAGGAAACTCGACCATCAGCTAATTGTGATTGACCTTTCAGAATGAGCTTATGTCTACTCTGAAATTTCCAATCAAAATCTGAAAGCACCTACTCAAAGGTTATTCCAGAAGAGCAGTAAATGCATCTTTAAAACAGCTCTTACCACTACTAATCACCATTCAGCCATTGCAGGTAGTCCTTGACTTACAACCATTCATTTAGTGACTGTTCAAAGTTACAAAAAAAGAGACTTGAGAGCATTCAGCATGCTCACAACTATCGCAGCACCCCGTGGTCACGTGATCAAAATTCAGATGCTTGGCAACAATTTCGTATTTATGATGATTGCAGTGTCTCTGAGTCACACAATCACTTTTTCCAACCTTCTGACAAGCAAAGTCAACGGGGAAGCCAGATTCACTTAACAACTGTGTTACTAACTTAACATCTGTTGTGATTCCGTAACAACTGTGGCAAAAGGGGTTGTAAAATGGGGAAAATTCACTTAACAATTGTCTCTCTTAGTAACAGAAATTTTGGGCTCAATTGTGGTCGTAAGTCTAGGATTACCTGTATTCAGGCTGATCCAAGCATTCAAGGCAGATTTAACTTGGAAACTTAATGAGGATGAGGGAAAGGTAAGTTTGAAAGGCCTGGTCTTCCTCATTGCAGAATGGCTTTAGAAAACAGTGTCCAGGGATGAGAAGGGATTTGACGTGTGTGTTGCAGCTTAAAGTGAGCTAAGTGGTGCTTGCTGATCCCACCTCTAAGGGTCATATGACTAGCTGACTGACTTAAGGTTGCTGAAGAGAATCAGATTGTAGCTACAGTTTGTTTTTCACTAAAGGAGGTAAATTGTTTTAAACACTGGAACAACTAAGGCAAACTTTAAACGGTATCTGGAATAGGTTAGGGATGAAATAGGCAATCTAATGAGAGCAAGGTAGGAAAGGCAGAGGTTGCTGGAATATGTTTGTGCCCTGATTCAGTACAACTGAGGAAAGACTCTTATTTATGGCTCATTGTATTGTGCAACCCCAGAACAAAGGTTAAGTTAGTCACCACATCAAGTGAATACTATAAACAATATCCATTGTTAGTTTACTTTCTCTGCTTACTTTGGACTTTTGCAGTTTTAAAACATCAAACTAACAAACCTGGAGTAATTTCCTCTTTTCTACCTATTAAGAGTACAGTCATAAGCAATTTTCCTCTTCCAAGTATGATAGTCAGGATGTTGAACATATTAATTTTTCTTCCGATAATGCAAATGGATTATTTACGTGAGCATTTATACAAATGAATTGGCTCAAAGATTAAGAGAACTAAATACAATAATTCTAAAAAAAACCCCTCTCTTTGGATGTTAAATACAACACTTTTCACTTTCTCAGAGAAGTGAAAAATTGAAAGTACTTTCTTACTTCTTCAACACTTCTCATATCCCATGGATTAACTCTAGTTCTACATAGTGCATCTCGGTATTGGAAAAGCAGCTTGTTAATAGATAACGCTTTTGTATGTTAATTTTTCCCTATAGGATTGCGTGCAACCCATATGCAGCATGCATATGACTTTTATAAACCTGATATGGTATCTGAGTATCCTGTGGTAGATGGCAAGCTATCCATACAATGCTACCTCAGTGCACTGGATCGCTGTTACAATGTCTATCGAAAGAAAATCTGTGCTCAGTGGCAGAAAGGTACGTCCTGCTAGAAAATGTAGTTGTAGACTTAGGCTCCCCTTTTTTCTCTTTGGGATGTTATTCTTTTCTATAACATTTTGAAAGCTCCTACAGACTTAAAACATTTCCCATTCACACTTGAAAATGGCACACAAATCTTTTACTGCTTTAGGAACGCAGAAGATCTTGAAACTAAATTTTTACTGTAAGGACATTGTAGCATTTTATTAATACCATTTTGACTCAGGAAGGGCTTTGTTTGAAGAATTGTAATAATAGTTTTTAAGAGATGTGTTTTAATAATGCACAAGACCTACAAGTTTTTAAGAAAAAGCACACCTAATAATTTTTAGAAAGTGAAGAAATACCAGATGGGGAAAAATAGGTATTTGAAATGGGGACTATTATTCCACTGACGAAATAATAAAGTAAGAGGCAGGTATTGTAAATAAATGAATTTTGCTAAATTGAAAGAACAGGTAAAGAAAGTATGGGCATGCAAGAGGAATGACTAAAGCACATCAATAAATAAATATTTAGCCCTATATATGTATTGAGACTTTAATCAAACTGGGATGGTTTGTGTTTGTTGCCATTATGAATCTTGAGAGATGGTATCAAATTTTGTTAAATGATAAGTGTAGGATTTGTAAATTGTGAAGCCTGTTTTCAAGAGTCTTAATCTTAGAATAACTGATATATTTACATTCCAGTCCCATGTTTGCTTAAATGGAAATAAGCTTTGTTTTTCAATGGCATACATGACATTTGCAATTTTAGGCAGGTCATTTCTAGAACGCCATTGTTTTTCTTGTTTTTCTTTTTAATTTTTTTCAGAGGGAATTGACAAAGACTTCACCCTGAATGATTTTGGCTTCATAATCTTCCATTCTCCATATTGCAAACTTGTTCAGAAATCTGTAGCCCGCCTGCTGCTAAATGACTTTCTTAAAAACCCAACACCCTCGAAAGAAAATGACATTTATAGTGGCCTGGAAGCATTTAGGTAAACTATCCCAATACAAGAGACACCTCAAAAGCAAGATTTGGCATATATTTTTAACCCTGTATTTAATGGCAATATATAATTGAGGCCTACAGAATTATGTGTCACCCAAATGTTTTATTCTTCATTGGTTAAAGATAAATTGTACTAAGCCTCCTGCCAGATGGCTCAAACAATGGGTTGTGTCCAACAGTGTTTACCTACTAAAGGAAGAGCATGGACTGATTTTTATGGATTTGCTTATGCATAAGGGATGGGATATGGAATAAAGAGATACCTGTTTAACTTTATAGAAGGCGAAGTGTGATTATGTTTGTTTGCACTTGTTTTGTTAAAAGTTGGAAGTTACTTATGTATTTGTTTTCTTTTTATGATATTTTTTTTCTTTCATTCTTTTTTCTTCCACTTTTTATTCTTTACATTTTCTTTTCTTTACCATTTAGCATGTATTAGTTTTTACTATTGTAAATAAAATTCTTAATAAAATTATATACAAAAAAGGAAAGAGCATATAGCAGAAAGGATTATCCCTCCTTTATATGCCATCCTAGCACATGCTTGAGGTCTGTAGAGTACCCAATGATCCTCAGTGACACAACTAGGGGCATATAAAAACAAAATGTAGGGAAGAAGAAGGTGAGAGGAAGCTCACGATGATAGCTGGATTGTAACATAAAAGTAAATAGTTTTTCAGAAATATTTTCTAAATTCAGTGGAATTTATATCCTAGTAAGTAAGCTTAGATGGTGAAGCCTTAGGATTGTTCCTTATATATCAGCATAATCCAATTTGTAAATCCTTTGCTTCTAGATAAAACGTCTTTCAAATCACTAATCCCAGATCACCCAATCAAACAGCAGGTAGAAAAAGGCATCTATGTATTTATTATACATATTTATCTTATTTTCAGAGATATAAAACTGGAAGACACCTACTTCGACAGAGATGTGGAAAAAGCTTTTATGAAGGCTAGCTCTGAAATCTTCAGCCAAAAAACAAAGGCTTCTTTGCTCGTCTCCAATCAAAATGGAAATATGTATACACCATCTGTTTATGGCTGTCTTGCTTCTCTGTTAGCCCAGTATGTACGACGGGAATATGTTTGAGATGTATTGAAATGATTTGATGATTCAGATAGCATATTCCTAGAGGCCAGGTTTAATTTGTCAAGAAACAGAGACAAATCCACAAGGTGTTAATGGTATTTTTTATTGTAAGTTCCGGAATACTTTTTCCAGAAACAGTTTAGGAATGAAACTGAAAATGTTGATAATTTACACAGCATTAATGTACTGTTTCAAAAATCCATGCATTTCTAAAAAAAATGTTTTCTGTTACACTTTGTGGATTTTGTAAAGGATAAAAATAGGTAGAAAAACAACTTTGAATACTTGAGGAGAAGCAGCAAAGAAGAAAAATGTGAAGAAAAATGCATGTATCTTTAAAAAGCTAGGATGCCTGTTTTCTTTTTATACAGATGTAATATTTGCTTTTACAGGAACATCCAGGGTATATGTGAGAGAGAATACTAATAATTACCATGTTTCCCTGAAAATAAGACCAGGTCTTATATTAGTTTTTGCTCCAAAAGATGCAATTAGGGCTTATTTTCCTGTCAGGTATTATTTTTGGGAAAATATGTTACTAAATGTATCCGTCTTGCTGACAATTTTAATGGGCTTATTTTTGGGGTAGGGCTTATATTACGAGTATCATGAAAAATCATGCTAGGGCTTATTTTCTGGTTGAGTTTTATTTTTGGGAAAACACGATACACCTCAAGATGGGACACATATACAGTATTTCTGTTTTAAAAATTTCATACTGTACATGAAATGGAACAAAAGACAATAAGAATGGACTTAGCTTTTTCCCAAGAGCAATTAGGAAAATGAGAAAAAAAGGGACAATGCTAAGTTTCCTAAATTTCATTTATTTAATAGGAAATATTGGCTGGAACCAGCCAATTAGATTTTCTAGACAAATAACCATGAGATGGTTTGCTTCACCTTCTTTAAACTTTTTGCTAACTACTTGACTCCTACGACATGCAGGTATTCTCCACAGCAACTGGCAGGACAAAGGATTGGAGTTTTCTCATATGGTTCTGGTTTTGCTGCTACCCTCTACTCCATCAAGGTTAGCCAAGATGCAACCCCAGGTAAGGAAAGCCATTTTGTGAGTGTGTGCGCACATGCACGCACGCACGCACAATAAGATGTGGCCAATTTTGAATTTCTATTGGGTGTAAATGTTAGTACTTTGTGATGCTTTGACTCTGTGCAAGCATACAATTCAACATATTTAGAATCCTGAGAGTAAAGATTTTTAAAGGGTATATAGCACATGTGATTGAGATATGAAAATGTATGTATGCTGTTGCTTCCTGAGAAACCTTTGAAAGACAAAAGTTGCTCATCATAGATAGAAAGGTGAACTCAAGTTAGGGAAATACCAATCCTTAACAGCTATTAATTACTGGTTATATTTTGACTTTAAGTGCTGTGATTAGGTCATATTCTTGACTCTAAATCCACTACTTACCTCCAAGTCTTCTCTACAATAGACTCCCCTCCACTTTGTGTTCTTTAGGTATCTTCAACTCACATCATTCTTAATGTTATAGGAATTCAACCATTCGGGAGGGCAATAGATTGAGAAGAGACTCCCATGTATTATGAAAATCTCTTTTGTACAAAACATTAAAACTGAAGGAAGCTACTTCTATGGTCTACTATAACTTTCTCTGAAGCAAATTGTTTAGAAGGTCTGGGCAGCGTTTCAGGTTAGATTCCAAAGAGATAGTTTGGCTTGCACCAGAATGCAAATGTAGAATAACTTGTGGCTCCTTAAAACAACTACTGTATATTGATGCAGTTGCTTTAGAGAGTTGCAAACAGATCTTGCATTCCTGGTCTCACATGCTCTGAAATATATTTTGGATACTAATCTGTAGCATTGTCCAGCCCTATTGCATAGATTTAAAATTTAGCAGAATTTAGCTGTGATGATGAGTCCTATTATAATGTGGGATATAATTGTTTATGCTGGCATGAATGTCAGGAAAATTTAAGATGTGAGCTTCTGCTTTACTAGACTCTTTGAGTTAATGCCATTAAAAAGGGCCACAAGAATCCCCTTCTGGGGTATCTATAGGAAATCAAAGGGTTGTTTTACTAGCTTTATTCTTGCATGTCCAAGTTTTAGCTGTTTGTGTATTATAATAATGTTTCCAACAAAGCTTAACTTACTCCTTTATACTATAGGCTCTTCTCTGGATAAAATAATAGCAAGCCTGACTGATTTGAAAGCAAGGCTTGATTCAAGGAAATGTATCTCACCAGAAGTATTTGCAGAAAACATGATGCTGAGAGAAAAAACTCACCACTTAGGTGAGTGGTAGAGAATCTATGATATATTTGATCTTGATTTAGTCACAGTTGGTGTACACTCATGGAAATGAATAGGACCTATATTAGTCAAATTTGGTGAGTTTGTTGTTTTCTATCAAATCCATCTTTTCTAAGAAGATACTACGGATGATGTACATTAAAATTTAAAACTACAGAGACATAAAAATATTGATGGTTATTTTAAAAAAAAATGACTAGAATCTATATCTTTTCCAATTATTAGGAAACTTTCCATCCGACTGGGTTACAGATATGTGGAAAAGTTAGGTCATATCTAGGAAATGAAACCATCCCATTTGTGATTAACAAAGATTTGCCCTTAAGCCCTAACTTCCATCTCCTTTTAACTTCTGAACTGAATTATCTGAGTAACATAGTTTGTTACTCAGATAATAAACCTTGAAGCATAAAATGTATTACAGTTCCTACTGAAGGAGCTTTGCTAATCATTGGGAAGGTTATTCATAGATTAGGATCAATAGCTTTAAAAAAATATATTAATTGTATAACAAAATTTATTCAGAGTAATGAGTCATCTGAAAAGGTGCTAATCATTACAGTATGCTAATATCTGGGATAAAATGCCTATTTAGAAATTCTGCCTCCCCACCCTTATTTTTTTTACAGCAAACTATATCCCCCAGTGTTCAGTGGATGACCTTTTTGAGGGAACATGGTACTTAGTACGAGTGGATGAAAAGCACAGAAGGACATATGCCCACCGTCCCATGCTGGGTGACAAACCTCTGGAAGCAGGAGTGGAAGTTCATCTGAACCTGGCTGGTGAGGTAACTATGCAGTCATATCATCTCCCTCCCTTCCTTATATTCAAGGGCAGGTGCACATATTGATTGGGTTTAAGACTGCATAATTGCAAATTCCCTTCCCCTTCTGTTTAACTATGACTTTGCTGAAGTTGGAATCATAGCCAAATAGAAATTCTGCTTAAATGCAAACCTGTATGCCCTAAATACTATCAGTGTTAGTGCTGACCAATCTGGGGCTCAAGGGGTATTCTTTCGGAAGAAGTGCAGCAAGGGCAGCAATCTGCTTGCTTTCTCTCGATCACATTTCTCTGCTAATTTCCGTGTTGGTTGATTGTTAACTTTCTCTTTGGTATTTCTATTTCTTGCAAAATAAATAGCTGTACAACAAGCACATATAACAAATTACATCTGTACTTGTTATTCTGGAAAATCACAGTCTTAAATCCTATTAAATCATGTCTATTCTCACTTTTTTGAGCTAATGTAAAAGAGAGTCTTCTCTCACATATACACAGTTCAGTTTTTGTGGCTCTATATATTGTCCAAAAATTAGAAATTGGGCTTTTATTATATTTGGAACATGATAGTCAAAATTAATTGTTTCCATTCTCCAAATTTTAAAGCATGCCGAATTATTTCATGCTATTGCTATTCAAACGTATCCAATTCTTACTTAATTGTAATTTATTGTCACTAATGTCCTTTAACTCGGGCACAGGATTTTTGGCATTCATTATTCAATTATTCAGATGAGAACAAATCGCCAACCCCAACATGTGGTGAACTGTTCTGTTCTCTCCCAAGTGCTTCAATCAGGAGAAGTGAAACTGCTACTTGCTTATGCATTATAGAGAATTGTCTATGCCAACATTTTTCAACTTTGGCAACTCAAAGATTTATGGACTTCAACTCCCAGAATTCCATTATCAGCCTGAAGAGTGTTTACTACTATGTACATCTAGTGTTTGCAACCATGTATTTAGTATTATGCTACTGTTTCCTTGTGTGTCATTAGGTTTTCTCATTTTATTTTGAAACATACATTTAAAATAACTGTCGGCTTTGTTTTTTGATGGGTTCTAATCTGTGGCTTCTTTCCCCTTTCCTAGCATATTCCCAGCCCTGCCAAGAAAGTACCACGAATTCCTGCAAAAATGGACACTGAAGCAGTTGCTGTTACCCTTTCTAATGGGGAGCACTGAGACACCTCTGTGAGGTGGAAGCTGATTAGATACAGGGAACATGGGGACATACATGGGATTAACCTGTTATAATCCACATTCAGCTGTACAGTACTGCTTAACTGGGGCATGAAAAATGCTAAGCTTGACGCTCTGTTGTCTGATGCGGTTTGTTGATGTATGTAGTTTAATAACACTAAAGTTCTTGTGCTTCTTGGAACTGAAATTACCAAGGGCTCTTTGTGAAAACAGTTTTTATTAAAAAAATAGTCATGATTCAGGAATAGGTTATGTAACTTCAGTTGTCCTCCTCCTCCTACCTTTTTTGACTTAAGATCTATATACCATTTTCTAAAACTAGTTTCCAGAGAAGAAGCCAGATTTGTTATAAAAGCCATCATTGAAATCAGTTATTGTGATTTAAAGCCTTTCATATCTCCATTTGATCTTTAATGTTAGGGTCCCTTGTGCCTTAACAATAAAAATGCCCCAAATCTTAAATATGACTCTGATTCCACTTTTCAAAATTCCCCACATTGAGGTCAGTCCAACTTATTTGTTCTTCAAGGTGCTAATAATTGGATACAGATTATTTTCAGTTATTTCTATCCTATACAGAAAGCTGCAGGCATGTAACTATTGCTAACATGGCTTCCAGTTGTGTGTGTGTGTTTACACTTTTGTAAACACTTGCTTCCCTTCTCCCAAATGTTTCTGTTCTGAGCAGATTTTCTTCATTGAAAGTACTGTCTGAATGGTAGACATTTAGTTCAGAAATAGATGCAAAATGAATTTCTTGGAAACTCTCCCTTGTAATCTTTTATAAAGGTTACTCAAGAGTAGGGACAGATGTTCAACCCAAGAACAACTATCCTGGACATTTTGTGCTGTTTTAGGGATGTATTGAAAGTTTTTCGGCAAGAATATCTGTAGCTTTACACTTGTGTAAGTTGTTTGATATTTCAAGCTTATTTAACATTTAGTTTCACCTCTGAAGGCATACCCAAAGACTGCAGTCTCAAGCGCTTAACAGCAGACATGCATCTTTTGAAGACAACTCACCAGATATGCATCCAGCTTGCTAGATGTGGCTCCTATGTTCATTGCCAGTCTTGGACAATAAAAACCAAGAGCATTAGTCAAGGAAAATAGATTGCAGGCTGCTTTCACCTGTGGGTTCTCCTTAAGCATAATCCAATGATTTTTGTAGCTCTCCATCACACAGTGTTTGAACCTTTGCAAATAGAGGCTTCACTGATGGGATCCATTTGCCTTTTAGGTAGCCCTGGATGAATTGGAACTTAAGAGAGAGAAAATCTTCCTGGCTTGTAGAATATAATGCATTTACATTGAAGTTTCTGTCTGTTTTTGGGTTACTTTTCCTTTAAAATAGTTCAGAAAGCATTGTCTAATAAAACTTGGAGAACTAATATAGACTATGCAAACATCACAAGATGCATGGTTCTGGTATTACATAGCTTTTCTCTTTTTTAAAGTGACAAAAGTTTGGCAATCTCTACATCTGTATATCCTTTGACTTAACCTTAACTGATTAAACTGGTGGCCTAAGTGCTATGGGATTCATTTTTATGTCAGAAATGTATCCAGTCCATTGCAGGCAATGGATGGGCTGAGAACTGTAGCACAAAATTAACCTTTATGAACCTCACAAACCAATGAGGCAAATGCCTAGTAAAAATAAATGTTAAACTCTTTGAATCTTTTGTGTCAGTGAAGTTATACTTTGTATTGCATGAACTTGTCAACAAGGAATTAGGCGTTTCAAAAGACAGATCTAATTAAGCAGCTAAGTCATCCATGTTTGCACTGGGTGCTATAGTGCTTTAAAGATTAGCCTAGTTCTATGGATATGCTTTCTTGGATCATGGTCTATGTATCAGAGGCATGGAGTGCATGAGGCATGTAAAAATAAAATTATCTTTGAGGTGCTGCAAAATTCTGGGTTTTGTTGCAAAAGACTCAACATGGCTATTGCCCTCAAGCTGTTATTGTACATTCAAATTATATACTGTATGCTTTGGAATCAGAGCAAGTTTTGGCATGTCCTCTTCTGCACAATCATTTTAGAGAGGATGATTCAACGAATGGATTTGGAAATTCAGTTGGGAGGCTAAATCAGCTTGTGTTGTTGTTAGTTGCAAAGTCGTGTCCGACCCATCGCGACCCCATGGACCACGTTCCTCCAGGCCTTCCTGTCCTCTACCTTCCTGTCCTGTATTTGCCAGGAATTGAAAGGGCCGGATGCCATGATCTTGGTTTTCTTAATGTTGAGTTTTAAGCCAAATTTTGCACTCTCCTTCTTCACCCGCATCAAGAGGCTCTTTAGCTCCTTTTCACTTTCTGCCATTAGAGTGGTATCATCTGCATATCTTAGGTTGTTGATATTTCTCCTGGCAATCTTAATTCCAACTTTTGATTCATCTAGCCCTGCCTTTCTCATGATGTGCTCTGCATATAAGTTAAATAGTCTGGGCGACAGAATACAGCCTTGCTGGACTCCTTTCCCAATTTTGAACCAATCAGTGGTTCCATGTCCAGTTCACACTGTTGCTTCTTGACCCGCATATAGGTTTCTCAAGAGACAAATAAGATGGTCTGGTACGCCCATCTCTTTAAGAACTTGCCACAAGTTGTTGTGATCCACACAATCAAAAGCTTTAGTATAGTCAATGAAGCAGAAGTAAATGTTTTTCTGGAATTCCCTAGCTTTCTCCATGATCCAGCGTATGTTGGCAATTTGATCTCTGGTTCCTCTGCCTCTTCCAAATCCTGCCCATACTTCTGGAAGTTCTCGATCCACATACTACTGGAGTCTAGTTTGTAGGATTTTAAGCATAACTTTACTTGCATGTGAAATGAGTGCACTGGTGCGATAGTTTGAACATTCTTTGGCATTGCCTTTAGCTTTTCTTAACTTTAGGATGGCGTATCAAGATAACTTGAAGTTGGCTTTTGATCTCTAAGGATAGGAAAGGAGGCACAGATGTGAATGGGCATTCTTCTGACAGGCACCAAGCAACTTCCTGTCTTAAGTAAACATGTGAAGGTATAGAAAAAAAATGGGGAGAAAATTAGAACTCACTTTTTATCCTATTTTGATGGGCAAAAAATATGTTTTTTCTGATTTTTTTAAAATTTGATATTTTTTAATCCTTTCCATGCTTTCCTATTTCAACTGTGATATAATACAATTCCTTACCTGAAGGAAAATGTTAACATGAGGAAGTTGCCTTTCAGAGAACATGCTTCTGTTCTTAATCAGAAACATTTTGAATATTTGTAATCCATTCTCATTTGTAATATCGAGAGTGCCAGCACAGTAGTGTGGTGAGAAGGGGCGTTGTCTTACCTGAACGCCTTTTCTCAGCATGATGATGGAGAATCCATAAATGGGTTGTCTTAATCTTCCTGCTCCAATAAGACTAAGTCTGAAGTGTAAGTATGCCTCTGCTGTGCAAGAGCACCCCAGTTTGAGACTAAGGTGAGACACAGACGTTAGTCCGACGCGTGTGCTTTCCTAACACTGGAACCAGGGCCAAACTGACCCTAAACGGGAGGGAGTGGATTCTCCATCATCATGCTGAGAAAAGGCGTTCAGGTAAGACAATGCCCCTTCTCCAGCATGATTAGATGGAGAATCCACAAATGGGACATACCAAAGCCCTGTGTCCCTGGGGGGGGGAAATAGTTTGGGCCTGGGTCCCGCTGGATGATAATATGTGTTGCAACATCCTGCGACCAAAGGAGGCATCTGAGGAGGCATATTTCTCAATCTTGTAGTGTCGAACAAAGGACGAAGGCGAGGACCATGTTGCCGCCCTACAGATCTCCCCAATAGGTGCCTGGGTCGCCCAGGCCGCCGAAGTAGTGGTGCCACGGGTGGAATGGGCCATGATGTGTCCAGGAACTGTCAAAGATTGTGCCTTGTATGCGAGGGCAATGCAAGCCCTAATCCATTTCCCTATCGTTGAGGAAGAGACCTTCTGGCCCATGGAGGAAGGTTGAAATGACACAATGCTTCAGATTTATGGAAGGCCGAAGTTTGTTTGATGTAACATCGCAGAGCCCTGTAAACGTCAAGAGTATGCCACCGTTTCTCGAGATCATGGGAAGGGTTAGGGCAGAAATTTGGTAGAACCACCTCCTGGGACCTATGGTACAATGAATTTATCTTGGGAATAAAGGAAGGATCTAATCTGAGGGTCACCCTGTCTGCATGGAAGATGCACAGGTCCTCTCTGACGGAGAGAGCGGCCAGTTCTGAAATTTACCTGGCCGATGTGACCGCCACGAGAAAGGCCACCTTCATGGACAACAGTTTAAGAGAACGTGATAATGGGTTCGAAGGGTGGCGAGATGAGGGCCTGCAAAACCTGGTGTAGGTCCCAAGAAGGATGTCGGTGGACCGCCGGCCTGGCTTTAGCCTTCAAAAAGGAATGCACCGTAGGGTGGTGTGCCAGGGGAGCGGAATTGTCACACATGAGCACCGTAGATAGAGCTGCGACCTGTCTGCGGATGGTGCTCGGGGATAGTCTCTTGTCCAACCCATCCATCAGGAATTCCAAAACGATCAGAACAGAAATGTCCGAAAGCTCCGCCTTACGACCAGAGCACCAGGTACAGAAGCTCCTCCATGTGGCATCATAGATTCTATTTGTTGAGGGGCGCCTGGATTGCTGAATCGTGGCAATCACCCTCGACAAATATGAGTCTTGGGTCAAGGCCCGCCTCTCAAGTGCCAAATGGTTAGTTGGAGCCACTGTGAGTCTGGGTGCTGAAGCACCCCCTGAGTAAGGGTAAGGGGAGACAGAGAGCTCTATCAAGTCAGCGAACCATGGACGTCTCTGCCAATGTGCAATCAGGAGGATCTCTGCCTGTTTCTTTAGGATCTTGCGGATCGTTGCGGGGAGGAATGGCAAGGGAGGAAAGGCATAAAGCAGTTCCCTGGGCCAGGGACTGTGGAGGGCATCTGTCCCTTCTGCTGTCGGAGACGGGAACCTGGAAAAGAATCTTGGGAGTTGGGAGTTGGCTGGGGAAGCAAAGAGGTCTAAGGTTGGGGGACCAAACCTGTCCACGATCTCCCTGAACAATCCTGGGTCCAGGCACCATTCAGCATGGTCCACAGTTGCTCTGCTCAATGAGTCTGCCTGCTGGTTGGCCACTCCGGATATATGTTCCACCCTGATGGAGGCAAGATTGAATTCTGCCCAAGACCCCAACAATTGGGCCTCCTACATGAGAGGCCTGGACCTGGTTCCCCCCCTGTCTGTTTACATGGGCCTTTGCAGCAATGTTGTCTGTAAGCACCAGGACATGCTGTCTCGCTACCCTGCTGCTGAAATGTCGTAAGGCCAGACGTATGGCCCTGAGTTCCAGCTAGTTTATATTGTTTTTCAATTCCTCTTGGGACCACCGACCCTGAGCCCAATGCGACTGGAGGTGCACTCCCCAGCCGAACAGGCTGGCGTCCGTGGTCAGAGTGACTTTGGCTGGCTCCTTGAACTCTGTACCCCTTGACATTGCTGGGGAGGCCCATCATCAAAGGGAGTTCAATGCTGGACACGGAACTCGAACCTTCTGGTTGGAAGCACTGATGCTTAGCCTCTGAAATGGAAGTAGAAGCCACTGCAGCTCCCGGTCGGGAAGGCGTGCCCATGGAACGATTTGTATACAGGACACCATCTTCCCCAGGAGTTGCGACAACAAGACTAATGTGACCACCCTATCCGGATTCGATGGACAAGGGCCCAAATGCTGTCCCGTCAGTCCTGTGACAGATAGACCGTGCAATTGGTCGTGTCTATGACTGCTCCTAGGAGGGCACTGTATGGCTTTTCTGAAAATTGACAGAAAACCCATGCTCCTGAAAGGTCCTGACAGCAAGGGCAAGAGATGATCGAGCCCTCTGGATGGAGAACTATATCAGTATGTCGTCCAGATAGCACTGAATTCTGATCGGAGTCTGTCTCAGGTGGGCAGCCAGCACTGCCAGTATATTTGTAAATACTCTGGGTGCTGAAGAGAGGCCAAATGGGAGGGCCCTGTACTGATAATGCTGGTGGGCATAACAAAACCTGAGAAATTTGCAATGCCCAGGGAGAATAGGGATATGTAAATATGCCTCTGTCAGGTCTATTGATGTCAGGAAGTCCCTTCTTCTGATGCTGGCCAATTGATTGTAGCGACTGCATCTTGAACGTCCTGTACATCAGATAGTAATTTAGACCTTTTAAATCTAAAATTGCCGTCCAGTCCCCCGAGGACTTTGGGACAACAAAAAGAGTTGAGTAAAACCCCCATCTCTTCTGGTCCTCTGGCACTGGCTCTATGGCCCATATCTGTGACAAGTGGGAGATTGCCTCTGACATGAGGGCCGCTCTGTTCTTGTTCGTGGGGGTGGGGCAAGTCCGGAAGCGATCCAGTGGACTGGACCAAAATTCCAACATTAGACCCTGAGCTATGGTGTTCAAGACCCATGAGTCCGTGGTGGTGGCTGCCCATACGTCTGAGTAAAGGGACAGCCGGCCTCCTATGGGTGGGGTGCCTCTGGAGTCACTTCCCTCATTTGAAAGGGCGTCCTCCTGAGCCTCGAAAGGGCCGCTTGGACTGGAATTGTGGCCGGGGTCTGGATGCGGGACAGTCCTGCTGGCACTCCAATCTCTGGTAGAAAGGACGAGAGGTCTGGGGCCAGTCCCAGT